AGATGCTTTTATCCAAAGCGACTTACAAATGAGGACAACAGAAGCAATCAATTGTAGTATTAAAACAACTAAAAACAGATCCAAAACTAAAAGCTAAAACTTTATAAATACTACCTATACACATTTTAAAAATAAAGAGATTAAATAAAAATGACAAATGCATACAACAAAAGTTCAAAACTTAACATTTAAATGAAAAACAAAAAATAAAGATAAAAACAATTCAAAATATTAAAGAACAAAAGGTATGAGTATAATAATGATTCTAACATAACACTAAGCCAAACACCAAAAAAAAATTATTAATTTAATATTTTAATATTTACATTTATTATTATTATTAGAAATTATTAGTGGGCTTGTTTATTATTAATATACTTATATTATTTGAATTCTTATATATATGTGTGTGTGTGTGTGTGTGTGTGTGTCATTTAATATTTACATTTATTATTATTATTAGAAATTATTAGTGGGCTTGTTTATTATTAATATACTTATATTCAGAAAATATTTGAATTCATGTTTTTCAGTTTTATTTTATATTTTATATTATGCATAATTGCATATGTCTTATTATGCATAAATCTCAAGAAATTTTGTTATATCAAAGCTTAAAACTAGAAAGAAAAAAAACATTTTGCCAAAGGTGTAAGAAAAAAAGAAAGAAAAAAATTATATATATATATATATATTCTTTACAGTGCATTATTTGTACCTTATCTTTTTAAAACATTGATTTTCAAACATTAGATGGTCACATTTATATTTTAAAAAGACATTTTCCAAGCATGTAATATATATATGAAATATGTAGAGGGCACTAGGCTCTGTTTTTAAAATGTAGAAATGTGGAAATGTCTTTGGAAATGTATTCCTCTGAAAATCCACTGCCATATCTTTACTCCCATAATGCACAGACCCCTTAGCGACGAGACTATTAAAATTGGATACATTTGCACAACACATAGCTGTGGGCAAAGTGGCACACATTCAGGAGGAATATGCAAATGAGATGCCACAACACAATATTTCCATGGAAAAATAAACAAATACAAACAACCAAACAAATAAATAAATGACAAACAACATCCAAGGGGAAGAACAGCAAGAGGAAGTAATGCTAATGCAAGTTACTGTTGCTAACAATGACAGTATAATGACTGTAAGACTCTTGTTTCTGGTAGATGACGTGAATGTCATTAGATGAGGCAGGTTTCAGACAACAGCACTTCATACAGCCAACGGCTTTGATACTCCTGTTCATCATTCACTGTTGGAAGGATGTTTGCCTTTCACTCATATTCACATGTACATAGTCTTTGTGAGTTGTTTCCTTCTTTTGTCATCTGAACTTTTCAATGTGGCTATTTTCACTCTGGGGTATTTTTTTGCTCAAGGATCAAGAACTCTGTGGGCGATTCATCCACGAACAACTCAATCAATCATCATTGGGCTATCTGTTAAAGGGCCAATCCTTTCTTCTTTTCTGGACCTTCAGATACTTTATTTTGTTGTATAGCCATTGAATTGAATAATAAACTATTATTTGATTGCTGTTCAGCAGATGTTGGTTTCTGTGTGTTTTTTTTAATCAATAAGAGCTGCATTTCTTTGCTTTTGTATTTAAAAAGTTTTCTTTAAAGAGACATTTGGTTTATTGAATTTTTCAAATGTGTTCACCTTCACAAAATTTGTTCTAAAAATGAATATTCACCCTTATTTCATTTAAAATCTGAACATATAGTGAATAACAACTTAATATTTGGATCTTTTCATCTCACAAAGGTACTGTATGGCTTTAGAATGTTACAAAAGTATTATGGACTAATTATATATATATATATATTTATTTATTTTTTGGTCAATATAAGCTGCTATAATATGGAACTCACTCTTAAAACAGTGTACTGTGGCCAATGAGGGTAAATAAATAATAACAGAAATTTCATTTTTGAGTAGATGATCCCTTCAATTCACACCTAGAACAATAAGTTTGAGCACTTTTTGGACTCACAGTGGCCTAATTCTCTTTTAATCACAATGTATCTAATAAAACAAAAAGGGCAGGTTACAGATATTGTCTCATGGTAAAGGATGAAAAGAGGTAACAAACGATGGCAAGGAAAAGTTTTAAAAATTAAGAAAACCGAAAAGGACAAAGCTGAGAAATGTCAAAGAAGAGGATGAAAGCTGTGAAAGAGGAACAAAGCGAGGTTCCTTTCAGTCGGTCACTCTCAACGTCCTCTGGAAACTTCATGTCCGGTCCCTGGACGGGACGCGGAGGTTCTGAGTGGCCTACCCCAAGAGGTAGTTGATACCATCACTTTAGTGAGAGCACCGTCTTCGAGACACGCCTACGCTTTGAAGTGGAACCTGTTCGTTGAGTGGTGTTCTTCTCGCCGAGAAGACCCCCGAAGATGCCCGATCGTAGTTGTGCTGTCCTTTTTGCAGCAAGGGCTGGAGCGAAGGCTGTCTCCCTCCACCCTGAAAGTTTATGTCGCTGCAATTGCTGCTAGCCACGACCCCGTACAAGGGAGGTCGCTGGGGAAGCATGACCTGGTCGTCAGGTTCCTTAAGGGGGCGAGAAGGTTAAATCCTCCACGGCCGCCCTCTATACCCTCTTGGGACCTGACTCTAGTGCTCACGGCACTACAGCAGGGCCCATTTGAGCCTTTGCAGACAGTTGAGCTGAAGTTCCTCTCAATGAAGACTCTGCTCCTGCTGGCATTGGCCTCCATCAAGAGGGTAGGGGACCTGCATGCATTTTCGGTCAACGATTCGTGCCTAGAGTTCGGGCCGGCTGATTCCCAGGTGACCCTGAGGCAATGTTAAATCTGAACATATAGTGAATAACAACTTAATATTTGGATCTTTTCATCTCACAAAGGTACTGTATGGCTTTAGAATGTTACAAAAGTATTATGGACTAATTATATATATATATATATATTTATTTATTTTTTGGTCAATATAAGCAATATAAGACCCTGAGGCCCCGGCCCAGCTATGTGCCCAAGGTTCCCGCTACTCCCTTCAGGGATCAGGTGGTGAACCTCCAAGCGCTGCCCTCGGAGGAGGCAGACCCAGCCCTGGCTTTGCTCTGTCCCGTCCAAGCCTTAAGGGGCTACGTTGACCGGACGCAAAGCTTCAGGACCTCAGACCAACTCTTTATCTGTCACGGAGGCCGGCAGAAGGGGAATGCCGTCTCAAAGCAGAGGATGGCCCACTGGATAGTGGATGCCATCACCCTGGCTTGTCAGGCACAGGGTGTGCCCTGCCCATTCAGGTTGCGCGCTCACTCAACTAGAGGTGTTGCATCCTCCTGAATATGTGCTGCATCTGCTGCCTACTTATACTCACGCTGTGATCAGCAGCAGCTGGATGCAATAATCGCATGCCAATGTGCATTGGCTCATTTAGTTTACATTCGAAGTAGATTGGT